TTCAATATTGACATATTGTGATGTATCAGAATAGAGATAGGCACAAGTTTCCATGGAATTATGAGAGAAACACTCTTACTGAACTGGGAGAGGAGGAGGTTGGGACAGGGACAGGATTTGGAGGGCCTCGAGCAGAAGAAATGCCCTTTCCTGGGGTGAAAATGTTGCTGGTGCCAGGAAGCCCTCTTGAAGAAGCGCAGGTAAAACAGGAAAGACCAAAGCTTTTCCCTCCAATTACAAAAAACATTCAGTTTTATCAAACCTTTTTTTCCTTGAAAAAATGCTCTAGTAATTGACAGTATTTGATCACTGCTGTGCATGTAGTTTCTCGAGTTTTATTTCACTGGCATGCATTCAGGTAGTGATTTCTCCATTTGGCGGCATCTCCACCAGTTCCCCCTGCAGATATTAGCAAAAACATGTGTTCCTATTACAGAAAACTCCCCACTACACACGCATACAAAAAAACCAAAAAGTCATAAAATTGTAATGTCAAAAATCATGAACTGACGAGTTACCTAAGGAATAAACAGCATGATAAAAGATGAATATAAAAGCTAAATGTATAAGTCTTCAAGCACTATTTAAGCTAATCTTTCTAAATGTCTACAATTCTTTTCTTTCTTAATATGTTTGGGGAGAAAAAATAAATATGTATAAACAAACAAACTCTAGGGGCCTGTTTTCATTCTTAAAGCCAGATCCTAAAAGCTCTGAAGTTTGGCCCAAACATGGCTGAAGATCCAGAAGTATACAGAGTGAGTCATCACAAGAAGTGGTTTGCTTCAAAGGGCACCAAAAACAGAAATTCAAGATGTAGATTATAATGTAATTTTCAAGACTATTTAAAAATGCCTCCCCTCAAATGGAGCAACATAGTTATCTAATTAATTCAGGTGAATACATATTATCCTTTAATTCATATCTCATTAGCCTGACACAAGCTGGAGCACAATGTTCTTTATCATACAAGGTACATTTCTTGCTATAAAATGATACATTTTAGGAAATAAGGTGTGTAATGGAAGGCCAATTGCTCCAGAAGAGATGTGCATAACTTGTAATCTTGTAAATTAATTCTGCCTGGGCTGCATTCCAGTTTTCCAGAAGAACAATTATTAACAAAGGAAAACCCAACAAAGGCATAAAAGACAGCATGAATACTGCCGCACAATTCCCTCTAGGTACACCCAGAAATTTTTCAGGATCCTACATGAAATCTTTTTTTTTTTTTTTTCTAAATGGTAATTTCATTAAAATATGTGCTGCAACTGAAGGTGTGTGAGTGGGAAAAAGTGCAGTGAAAGGAACAAGGCAAGAAAATGGAGTTTTAGAAATTACACAGTAAACGATTGCTGATAAACTGAAGCATTCTGGTACAATTAAGGGTAGTTTTGTGTGCAGAAAAGATTATTCAATATACTTTATTAATAACCATTTCTTAAAGTTACAGATGTTGAATTCTTCCTGGAGTTTTTATGTTCAACTTCTTATTCTAATTTAAAAATCTAGCAAATTTACAACTGTTTGTTATAAGAGATTTGAATAGTACCAGCTGGTTTCCACTTATAAACTTGGTAACCTAAACACATTCAATATGCAAACATTGTTTACAAATTTAATACATTGTATTTCCTTTTAAGATAAAATTTCTGAATGATAGACTCTTGCAAAATACTTAAGAAACTCAGATAAATCAAATTAACTTTATATGGTAAAACTAGATTGTTTTAATATTCTAGTGCTATATATAACCTTAGAAATATTCACCAAAATCTATTGTTATATATTTGAAATGATATATGTAATACTAATTATGCATAAATTCTAAACATAATATAAATACTATGGTTCTGATTCCCCTAAGCATTTTTATACTAATTCTAAACATTCCCATAGTTAAATGCTGCTTTTCTTTGGGGAGAAATACAAGTCAGGGCAAGATGTTCTTACTCCTACATAATGAATATTGATACAGGAAGATGAATGATAAGTGATTTCACCCCTCACCCCACAACCCAGTACTTGCCATAAAAAAGATAAAGCGATGTCCAGATACTCAGAACAGGGAGAGCTACACGATTCGCTCTCCTTTTGCTTTGTTTGTATATTAATAGTAATAAAAGAAGTTGAAGAATAGTTTTCCCTCACAGAGTTTCCTCCTGCACAATAAACATGTGGACAAAATTCTTGCTGATCTGCACCAGGCCTCTCTGATCATTCTTTGTCAGGTAGGTTACTTTTCACTAGCAATTTTGACTGGGAATGAGATCTGCAACTTTAGACATTCAGAGCAATTCTCATCACCTGCTACTTAAGTAGTTATTTTAGGAGTCACCTTAGCATGTTTGAGACTACCCAAAGGCTAGTGACTTTGACCAAATCCAACTTTTAAATTAGAAAAAGGCATAAGCTATACTTCTTAATGCATATACCTGCATGGTCTGAAGCATCAGTGAAGTCTTTATAATCCCCTAGACAGCCCTATGCAGCCTGATTCCCCCATTTCTACCGATTTCCTCTCTCATCCATAAAACTCTCTTCCTGATTCACTCTACTCCATCCACACCAGTCTTCTTACTACCTCTGGTCCTTGCCCAAAGTGTTCCTGCCTCAGGGCCTTTGCATTGGCTCTTCCCTCTACTTGGAATACTTATTCTCTCGTGAATTCATGGCTTGCTTCCCAATGGCCTTCAGGCTTTTACGCAAACATAACTTTCTCCAAAAAGCCTGTTCCAAGCTTGCTATTTGAAACTGTAACCCTGCCCTGTCTCTTTACCCCTCCCACGTCTTTTTACCCCTCCCACTATTTCCTATTCTCCTGCCACTCAATTTATGTTCTCCCTATCACTCAACAGCATCTGACATGCTATACATTTTAATGATGTACTTGCCTATTGCCTATTTCTCTCAAAGCTCCATGAAGGACAAGATTCTTTTCTTTTTTGTTCAGTTCTGTATCCTGATACTTAAAATGTTCTCAAAAAATATCTGTTGAATGAATGAATAAATGCAGGGAAGAAGTTAACTTCTGGGTGCCACAAAAAGAGAGTCCACATTATTGTTGATATCCTTTTAAAGAATGCAAAGTTGTCCAAGCCCTTCAGCAATGGTTTCTGCAAGCAATGTACAAATTTGAAAACAACCTTTCCTGTTCTTCCAAATAGGCCTGGGATGACCTCTGCCTGTTTTCAACCATTATTGATGGTAATTATTCATGTTTGAAAGTAACATTACATTTCTTTAAAAATATCCCTTAATTAGAATTTTCACTGTTTCAAAACAGCCTTATCCTTTAATTAGTCCAAAGTGGTAACCAAAATTTATGTCCCAGCTCAATTCATTCTCCTTCTTTACCTTAATCTCCTGTTTTCTCATTTGTCCCATTAACCATAAATAGGGCCGAGAGAGGCATAAATTGTTTTCTCATGATGAAAGGTCTGAATCGACTAATTAGGCCAGTCAATTCCCAGAGTGCAAAGGCTAAATTTTCTTGCTTGGATACACACCACATATCTGCAAACCACAGCACAGTTAGTTATCAAATATTCTGCAAATGTTCCCATGCAGAGCTCCCTCTGAGGGTGATCAGAGAGGCTTGGTGCAGATCAGCAAGAATTTTGTCCACATGTTTATTGTGCAGGAGGGAACTCTGTGAGGGAAAACTATTCTTCAACTTCTTTTATTACTATTAATACACAAACAAAGCAAAAGAAGAGCGAATCGTGTAGCTCTCCCTGTTCTGAGTATCTGGACATCGCTTTATCTTTTTTAGGGCAGGTACTGGGTTGTGGGGTGAGGGGTGGAATCACTTATCATTCATCTTCCTGTATCAATATTCATTATGTAGGAGTAAGAACATCTTGCCCTGACTTGTATTACTCCAGGGAAGACCAATTAAACTCCCTTAATAGACAATTCCTAAATGTCCTATATATGAAGCCAACTTGGCACTTCCCCACTGGGTTATGAGCTCAGTGAAAAGTGCCGCAGAAGTACGACGCCTGAGCTAAAAATGTCCAATGGCACTAGTGATGAAAAAGTCAGGCAGAGTCTTAGGGTTCTCAAGCCCATGTTTCCCTTGAATTACTTTATTTAACCCAAAAGGTAAACATGTAATATCTGATTGTGGACACTATATTTGACATGAGGAAGCTTTCCATTCTCATATTAAGAAATAAACCAAAGAAAGAGTTATGACCTTATGGATGACTCATTCTACAGGGGGAATTATCCAGGGTATTTAGAAAAAATAGGGCCCTTGCTGGGCACAGCGGCTCACACCTGTAATCCCAGCACTTTGGGAGGCCTAGGTGGGCAGATCACAAGGTCAGGAGTTCAAGACCAGTCTGGCCAACATGGTGAAACCCCATCTCTACTAAAAATACAAAAATTAGTTGGGCATGGTGGCATGAGTCTGTAATCCCAGCTACTCAAGAGGCTGAGGCAGGAGAATCGCTCAAACTTGAGAGGCAGAGGTTGCAGTGAGCAAAGATCATGCCACTGCACTTCCAGCCTAGGCAACAAAGCAAGACTCTATATCAAAAAAAAAAAAAAAAAAAAAAAAAAAAAAAGAAAAGGAAAAAAGAAAAAGAAAAAATAGGGCCCCTGTTTTTAAAAACCAAATCCTAAGATATTTTTAGAAACCTGGAAGATAGTTTGCCATAAAAAGCTACCATCACCAAAAAAGCAAGAGATTTTCTAGCTCTTAAGACATAAAAGTTGGCTTTATATATGAACAGACTAATCCTTATTTTGGAAAATAGACCCATTAGTTTTACTGATATACATAAAATATAGGTCCATAGCTTAGAGAAAAGCTTTCAGGTTGTTACTTAACTAAATGCAAATATTGAAAGTGAATCAGTTACTGCATATCATCACTCTTCCATCTGCTGTATACTTTTACATATTGTGGTTCAGGGTTATAGCTGTTTCTTAGTTTTATTAAAGATGAAACGTCTACTTTTCTTGATCATTTTTCTTGTTTTAGAGTAATTTATGAGAGGATGAGGTGGCAAAATGATTTTATTATGCCATTTAAAAATGGGAAGTGATTTACCATGCAACTTAAATATTTTGACTATCATTACAGCAACTCTGTAAGGTGAGCACACTGGGAAGGATAAATTTTATTTAAAAAAATAGAAGAAAAGAGGAAGTTTTGCTTTCTTGGGGAGAGGCATGGCTCAGCTCTATTTAGATAAAAAATGATCTTGGACCTTGAACCTTTTGGTGGAAAAAGGCTGGGCTTGCCAGGCTCCATCTGAAGGACTGGGGCTAAATACAGAGGGTACTGCATTTTTCTACATGTTATATGTTGTGAGGGGTTATGAGTCTTCCTGGGAAGCATGGAAGAAAAGGGATTAGTGGTGCAAAAACTAAAAAGAAAGGGATGAGAGGGGGAAAGACATGAAGAAAGAAGAGAAGGTGAAGGGGGAGAAGAATGGAGGAGGGAAAGACAAGACAGAAGGAGCGAGTGAGGAAGAAGAAGGGCTGTGGTGTTTACGCGCAGCATACCAACAGGTAGGAACTGGAAAGAAAGTTGGATACAAGAAGTTCCCCAAGGCAGCAGGGGCTGGTAGGCTCTAGGACAGAGCAGTCCCATCCTGAGATTTAAGGTGTGTGCTGGGCTTGGCTGCGTACCTACTTCTCTGCTCCCACGATCACCTCCTCCGCTACTTTGCAGTGAAGATGCTGTCTCCTTGCTTTCCAAAGCCAACACTTCCATCTGCTCCGCCACTGCGGTAACTTTAGTGTTGACTACTCCTCCTTTTTGTGTATGTAATGTTTCCCATTTGGGTCCTTTCTATTAGCTTTCAAATAGGAGCTAAGAACTTTGGGAGGTCGAAGCGGGCAGATCATGAGGTCAGAAGATTGAGACCATCCTGGCTAACATGGTGAAACCCCGTCTCTACTAAAAATACAAAAAAATTAGCCAGACATGCTGGCACACGCCTGTAGTCCCACCTGCTCGGGAAACTTAGGCAGAAGAATTGCTTGAGCCGTGAAGGCAGAGGTTGCAGTGAGCCGAGATCATGCCACTGCACTCCAGCCTGGGAGACACAGTGAGACTCTATCTCGAAAAACAAAATAAAGTAAAGTAAAATAAAATAAAACAAGCAGCACTTGTCTTTAAAAAGTTCCTTCAACTTCACTCTTTCCCTGCCACCCCTTTATCTTCCTCCTCTCCTTCACAGTTAAGGGTCTCAAAACCACTATGGGTTTTTCTTTCTTTTTCCATGTTCTCCCTACACATTCATCTCAAACTGGCTTCAATCTGACTTTCATCTCCACCACACCATCAAAAACAGCCCTGGCTCTGTAGGTTATTAATGACCTGAAGACGCTAAATCCGATGAGAATTATTCAGAGCTCACTTTATTTATTTGACCCTCAAACATCTGGCTTATTGATCAGCCCCTCCTTGAACTCTCTCCTTGCTTTGCTCTTCTGTAGCTATCCCATCTCAGATTGCCTCCAGCCTTTCCTGTCTCTTTTGCAGGCTCGTCCTCCTCACCAGCCCTATCCCGTACCACATTCCTACTTTCTCTCTGAGGTACATCATACAAGTCTTTTTTAGTTCCCACCCTCCCTGTCAGAAAACTTTTCACGTGCTATTTCTGTAGATGGCTTTCAGGTTAGTTATCACTTCTTTGAGGAAGCCATTTCTTAAGAGCCAAATAGGTCAATTCCTACTGTTACTTTTATTGCACCATGTATCTTTCCTTTATAACAACTCTGGGTGCTTCATCTGCATCAGCTGAGGTTTTGTACATATTTTCAGTAACTATTGGGTTAATAATATCTGCATCAGCCAATTGACTGTGCACTTCGTGATGATAAGGATCATGTTTGTTTTGTTTTGGATTGTGAGGAACTTACATTTGTTGTCTGCTCATTGTTTGGCACAGAATGATTCTCAGTACATACTTGTTAAATAATTTTCCTCAAACTTTTATTTTATAATTTTTTTATTTTTTTGAGGTGGAGTCTTGCTCTGGCACCCAGGCTGGGGTGCAGCAGCATGATCTCGGCTCACTGGAATCTCCGCCTCCCGGGTTCAAGTGATTCCCTTGAATCAAGGAGAATCAAGTGATTCTCAGCCTCCTGAGTAGCTGGAACTACAGGCACGTGCCAGCATGCCCAGCTAACTTTTCGTATTTTTAGTAGAGATGGGGTTTCACCATGTTAGCCAGGATGGTCTCGATCCCCTGATCTCATAATCTGCCCACCTTGTCTTCTCAAAGTGCTGGGATTACAGGCATAAACCATGGTGCCTGGCCTCCCCAAACTTTTATAAACACCCTTTCTAGTGATTTTCTATTAGCAGTGACAGGCAGAATGGGAGAAGGAGAATGGCCCTGCAGGCTTGAGGGATAATTAGAGCTTGGAGAGTTAGAAGGAAACATTTCAAGCATGGAAAGATTCAGACAAACCCAACTCCCTTTAGGCACTCACACAAATGTGAGGGGGTGCACAAGTCATTTCCTTTTGTCACTAAGAGCAAAGATAATCCCAGATTGCTGGAGATTTGGAGACACCCAGAAAACATAGTGTTTGCAGATGTGTTATTATTACAATCTTATGGAGAAATAAATGAATTGTCAGAGACTAGATGAAGTCAGACTTCATTTGTGGATCCAAAACCTGACAGCCCAGCAGAAGCAGTGGGGCCTGGTAAATGCTAGAACACGGTTTCCAAAACACAAAGATTCTAGTTTCCAAAACACACAGATTCTAATTCACTTGGTCTGGGGAAGAGGTCAGGAGCCTACATTCTAAAAATAACCCATCCCAACACACCCCTATTCAATTATAATAATATCCCAGATTTGGGAATTACTAAACCAAATAATGCTTAAGATATTTTTCACTCCTGAATTTCTATGAATCTCTAAAAATATAATTAGGATTTTCCTCAATAGAGGTTATATGAACCTCAGCTCAAGTCATGGATTGTTTATTCTTTTGTTCAACAAGCATTTGATGCAAACTTTTTACCGAGGAGGCACTGAGCTGCCTTTAAACACATGTGCTCCTTAGGAGTAAAATGAGGTTGATTTGACAGAATTACCTCTGCGCTTAATGAAATTACAATACAATGCAATTAAAGAAATTAGATGTCCAAGAAATAATTTGGGATACATAGGGCATTGTATGAACTAAAATTTCAGTTATCTGTTCATCAGCATTGTCAGGCACCCAGAAAGGTCTCAAAACTGCAAATAAGTGGGGTTATTCTTGACCTTTTGTGCCTTCCCCTCACCACCCCCTCTGAGATGTAACCTCCTTTTCTTCTGTAGCTCTTATATCTCTATATTGTAACTCTTGGCACAAATTGCTTCTTCATTCTGAATATGTATCAAGTACATGTATTCTGTATATAGTAGGGGTTTAAGAGTTTCAAATGAGTCATTGGCCAAGCAGGGAAATGGTTTTCAAAATAGTTTCTGCTTTGAAAGAGGTGTTTAAAAGACAATGGGGACAAAAAGGGAAAAAGAAAAATGAAGCTGAGAGAAGAAAGATGAAAAGTTGGAATGGTGTCAGGTGGCACAGATATAAACTGTGGTGGTGTGGTATAAAAGCAGGAACCACATTGGTATCAGAGAGATGGCAGTGCGCTCTCAAAAAGGGAAGATAAAAGACTAGGGGTGGCCTGTCCTTGGTCGTCAGAGATCACTGAGGCACTAATGATCTCCATCTCTAGCAAGTACCTCAATGATCTCTGAAGACCAAGGGAGAGGCCACCCCTAGCAAGTGTTGGAAGCAAAAAGTGGAAGAGGAAAACAGGAGAGAAAGGTAGAGGCAGATGAAGTCTCAGCAGAAAACCCTGAGCAAGTTGATGTGATACAAGGACCTTCTCAGAGTCTGGGGGCTGGAGGGTGACACACATTTGTCACATGCAAGAGTCAAGTAACAATGTCATTCTATCCCATGCCCCACAGGGCTTCAACTCTTCCTACAAATGTACTGATAGCACAATGCAATATTACTTCATACTTCTAAGGATTGCCCTGATAGGATGATATAATATTTAATATTGCTCTAAGGTAATATGCTATTTAATATGCTCTTATTAACAAGGCAGGGAAGGACATAGTCATAGCCAAATCATTGACTGATTTGCCTCGAGCCAAGCTTCTTATATGAATTACATTATTATAACATCATACAAAGCTAATAATGCACTTATTGTTATCATTCTCATTTTACATTTAAAAACCAGCCAGGAGTGTGCCAGTAAATATTTTATAAGGAAAAAACTCTGATTGACAGTGTCTACCAAGATCTATGGTGTAAATACTCCATGGAAATACTACTAACATGATGTCACTGAATGTAGAGTTGAAAGGGTTGTATAGTAGCATACCGTTGCATATTACTTCTATCATAGACAATGGATGAAAATAGTCAAGAGCATACAGTAAAATGTAGCAAAATAATTAGGAAATGATGAGTTTGGGGTCTTTATTAACTTCACCTTGAACATAATTTGTTTAATTGTAAATTTATATACTATAATATTTAATGAGGGCTGTGTTTAACAACCAGCTCACAAAGCCTTGAAAATTCAGTGATTAGCTCTCATAAGCCAGTATGAGCTGGCTCCAGCATACCTCTGTCAGTCCAGTGTGATTTTGGAATATATTCCCCTTTATAACACCTCAATTTCTAACTATTTCCAGAAAACAGTGAATTTTTAAAAATCTTGTCTCCTTAAGGACTGATTCTTGTATTTTAAACGTGGTCCCCAAGCCCTCCAGGTGATTCACGTAATAGGCATGAAGTTATCAGAGTCACGTCATAAAGAAGTCTAAGAAACCCAGATGAGTAGATGAGGGATGAGTGTCACCAAGAAGCAGATCCCTGTATGAGAATCACTATGTGGCAACAGAAATCAAACCACTTTCAAGTAAACCCAAAATTAATCTGAAGACAGATCTTCTTATATATCTAGACAGGGCTGAAATTAATCCTAGAGATGGAGAGTTTTGAATCTGCAGTGTAGGATAGGCAAATGATTACACTGACTAATTAAACAGACCTTGAGGTTGATTTGCCAAGACCCAGACCACCCTTCTTACCTACATTTTTGTCATTGAG